GAGAGGGAGAGAGAGCGAGAGAGGGTGAGACCTTGGAATATGCTTATTGGAGGAACATGGGAAGGTGGTATTGGGTGGGTGGTAGGGCAGCCCCCTGAAGACCCAGTCGATGTGCCAAGGTGTCTGGACCTTGAAGCACCCAGTTCACCGTGCGATCGGTTCTCCTCAAAGCCAGGTTGCCAGCACTGACTGGCAAGTTCAAGAGGTACTAGTCATAGGGGTTTTGGAGGACCTGGTTGTGGGGAGGGCCTGTGTACCTGAACCAAATTTCAATATTGGGCAGCTGTAATTATTCAGTCCATCATATTTCATGCTTTTGCCCCAGAAACCGGCTTGCAGTACATTTAGTTTTTGAGCACCTGCATTGTTGCACACAAGTTGCAGCCGCAAGCAGTCTTTTGCACAGATGCCATTGCGGAGCCGACAGTAATTGTAGACTTTCCAAAAAAATTTCCAGAGAGGTATGTGGGAGGCTTAGGAAGAACTATTACAAGATGGCATTCCTGAGGATATCCATGTGTCTTACGATGCGGAAGTCCCTTCTGGGTCTTGCCTGATGCATTGTCCCGGTTAGCGCCCCGATTCCCCTAGTTGTGCCACGTGGACATCGGGTCAGCAGAGCAGCATGAGCATAGCATCCACCCCAGTGCATTCAGCAAGCATACCATGTTAGCTGCTGATTCGATTTCAGGCATTTTCGCATTGATGTTCTTTGAGCACATGTTTGTTCTTACAGTATCAGCTTAGTTGTCCACAATCTCTGATTTCTGACCAGAGCAACACTACGCAAATTGTTTCCGCAAAGAACCTATTACTGTCGCCTTGTTGATCCAGATTCCCCGGTTTTGTTAAGGCATTTCTTCAGGCTGCCCACCTTCAGTCGACAAATGCATCTTGCACCATTGGTGCGTGGTCCATGCGTTCTCCTTGCTGCTGTACCAAGACGGCATTAAGAAGACTGCAAAGGCAGAGCTTCAGACCCCACTAGCCTGGGCACGGGCACGTTCAGAGAACGAACGATAACGAGGCAAGTTTTGGCTCAGGCTTAAGAGGTTGCCGGCAAACTGGTTTCATGACGAACTTCGCAGCGGCTCCCGCTGGTTCCATTTGGCAATCACTCTGCTTTGCGACAGCCACGGTGCTGCAGATGNNCTGGCTTCCTCATGATTTTCCTGGCAGCCTGCAAGATGCAGCAGCGGCTCGTTGCCAGGCGCCGCACTGTGCGCAGACAAGCGCCTAGCGCCCAAGTGCGCGGCCCTGCGATGCACACGCCCGGAAACAACGGCGAAGCCTTCCACCAAAGGCGCAGAGCAAGCATGAGACTCAGAAGACCACAGGAGCTGAGGTCCCTCGAAGGCCCTTGGTTCCCAGGCTCCGTGTTGGTGATCTTCGTATCGCATGTCCTGACCGTAGTGTTTGCACAGTCTGCGGTCTGGGCAGCTGAGATGGGGTCATCATTCTGCCTGGCTTGTTCCATCGGTGCCATTGTTAACCTGCAGATGCTGAACAAGAGCATCCTGTACCACGACGGCGCGCACGGCCTCCTCCACGGCCGATGGAATGCAGAGCAGCTTGCCTGTATGAGTGGCATGACCTAGGTGCCCAACAGCTCTTTCCCTTAGATGTTGAAGCGTTTGGAGGCTCACCACTGATTCTTTCCGGCTGTGGAGCCGCAGGGCTGTGAGCTGTGAGTGCTTGAAGTCCTGTGCCTTTGCGTGCCCTGTCCCAGGTTCGCCTTCATCCTCTCCGCATTGACGTCGTCAGCCATTGGTTTCCAGGAAAGCGAAGAGCATGCCGAGCACCACAGGAACACCTACTCTAGCCAGGACCCAGATGCACAGCAATTCATTACGGAGCCTGAAGGATGGAAGCGTCCACTTTGGCTGGCTTGTGCTCCACTTATACGGGCATTGAAGCTGGTTTCAGAGGAGTGGCCAACCTCGCTGCTAAAATTTCCTCATCATTCTCTCTATATTGCATCCAGCCACCTTCTGCTCTCTTGCCTTCTTGGCTGCCAGGTGACAGCCATGCTTTTGACAGCCTGGTGCTTCCGGGACTGGACACCTGCCGGCCTTCTTTCGCAAGCAGAGCACTTCACGTGGAGTGATAATCAGCCAACCTGGTCCACCTACAGCTTCCGGCAAGGCGTTTGGTGTCCTTTTGGCATCCGTTGGTTTGAGCTGCTCATGGGCAACCTCATGTACCACGTGGAACACCATGACTTCCCGAGGGTCAGCTGGTGGCATTTGCCGCACCTGCCTGAATTGTTTGAGGATGACTACGCTCAATTGACGACCTTTGACTTAGGCAATTATGCCTGGGAGTTCTACGTGCGCAAGACATTGAGCTTCAACCAAGCCTTTCACTGGTAGGTGATGAAAAGCCTGTGACGATAAACTTCAAGGGTTGTGGTCCGTTTTCCCCTTCCAGCATGTACAGTAAGCAGCGTGAACACTCCATCACAGACACGGCCTTCTCGCTGTTCTGGAAGCTTCGGGCTTCTCCCTGGCAGAGCTGTACCTTGTGCAGATCTGTTCTTCCCTGAGAGACAAAACCTGGTACGCGGCTTTACTGCTACCAATTTACTGAGTTGCTGTTAAGGATTTAAACTTAAGGTGCTATACTAAGATCAGGAAACGCTTTGATTTATTACTGGATATCTTGCTAGCTAAAGTTAAGATCCTCAACAGCAACCCAATTTAAGGGACATGCGGTGCAAAGCGCAGCCCTTGTCCGCCTGACCTGCAATTCTGGTTGAGCGCTGACCGCCTTGCAAACCGGACATAGGCTTGTTCTGGTACACGCACTATACCAATTCGGCTGGAAGAAGAAAATCTGAATCCTCATAAGATCTCTACAATTATTTCCGAGATATAAAGGGTTATCGTTGATTCAATGAGAATTATCGTTTCGATGCTGACGAAAATCAATCTCGAATATCCCTTTTATCATTTGGAGCTGACATTGGAATGCATGGCAGATAGATGAAATGAATATATATTTCAAATAGAAAAAGATCCAAAATTCAATAATATTAGAATTCTATACATAAGAAAAAATGATTGGAAAATGATAGTAGCCTGGGAATATTATACTAATCTATTTGGATATCTCTTTGAGAAATTGATTTATTGATGAATTGATTATCTGATGAAAGATGAATACGATTTCTATGATGAAATTAGATATATGCGAATAATATGAACATTTATCATTTTATTGATATTGAATGAATTATTCAAAATGGATTTTTTATTGGCATATATGCATATATATTGATTTATATATATTTAATATAACTAAGTAAATAGAAACCTTTATATCTATTATATTATATAATTTCGAATTTATAAAGATATAAAAAGGATATGAGATATTCGTATGAAATAATATTAATCATGAAATATTTTGATTTTTGATTTCATATAGAATTTCATTCTAATTATGATTTGATTGATATATATTTGATAATTAATCTGATATTTTCATATCGTATTTCGATAAATCTAAATTATTTTGATTTTTTGAAATATATATTCATATATAAAGGAGAATATCTTAAAAGATGAATAATATAAATATATATATCATATTCATCGATTGTCGATAAATTTAGATTTAGACAAATATATCTATGAAAATTAATTTCATCTCTGCGTATATTTCTAATTTTCTTATTTCATTTTTTATATCGAATCTATATTTTTTAAAATAATATCTCAATATTATAGCGCGGTCATTTCGTTCTCGCACGATTTAGATTTTCTAGTTCATTTTAAAATATTTCTTGCGGGCGTTCTAACGATTCAAATATCTCAGAGATTTTTTAATTTTTCGGAATTTCGAGAGGGTCTAGAGATCTTTGATGCGGGTAAGGAGACTAAAAATCTCGGAGATTTTTGG